CATGCTGGTTGCATGCCAAGTGTGCAGCGCGTGCACAGCATGCCCAGTCTCGACCCCTGCCCTAGGCCCTCTCGCTTATTATGCAAAGGGTATTATTATCATGATTATGCATGCATAGAAATTTAAAAAAATGGCTGCGCGCGTAGATCTACTTGAGAATCAAAGATTTACCATGGCCTATTATGTTCACCAGTACTAGTTGTTGGTGCTGAGTCGAATGCTCGTTCTTCTGTCTGTACAATCATGTAGATCTACCTGTAGACTAGTTTTTGTTTCCTCGCCAGGCAAAGCAGCGCACGCAGATCTACATCACATTGTACTACTAGAGTAGAGGCTAGGGGTGGTATGGGTAGGGCTATCACAGCACTGGTGCCAGTGGTGGTAATCTGAAAGTCATGTCATTCAGTTCTGGAGCGGTACTGTCCACGCTGACTTCGGGACAGTCTCCCTATGCAATGCTTACCGACGACGGCTAGCCGACACTCGACGACGGAATGAAGCCAGTAGAAGACGACCACGCGGTGGCGGAAAAACGATCCGAAACTCCGTCATCACGGAATGGTGCGGAAGCGCCGCTACTGGCGAACTCTTCCGTCAAATATGACGACCAGCAACCCGGAGCGACACGTGCCATCGCTGGTGGCGAGACTGGTGACACTGCGTCCCTCTCACGTGTAGGGGAGGACACGCTGGCCGGTTTGACGTCGACCAGGAAACAGATAATGCTTGGGATGTTCGTGGTGATTATCGCCGCTACACAGTTGATCATAATGAGTCTAGGTCCGTTCTTTACAAGCGAGGCGCTGTCCAAGAACCCTAACGGAGGCCCTGGCTATCATAGTGCCGTAGGTGCGGTGTACAGTTCGATAGACATCACGGGACTCATCACCATCCCTGCAGTAACGTATGATCTGGAGAACATCAGCAGTCGCTGCTTGACTTTACTGTGCTGTGGTACGCTTTCAGCATCCCACATGATCTTTGCGTTCGTGGATTCGATCCAAGACTGGAGAGTGTTTATCACATACTCTATATCTGTACGGCTCATGCAAGGTGCAGCGCAGGCAGCACTGAGAGTAACTGTTACTGCCTATCTGATGCGACTGTTCCCCACGCGAATGGCAGTAGTGACCACGTTCAACAACGCTGTTTGGTCGGGTGCGCATGCGCTGGGAACATTACTGGGAGGAGTATTCTTCGATTTGGTGGGATATCGGTACACGTTCGTGATTTTCTCCTTGACCATGGGAGTGTGCGCCATCGCAGCATTCTTTGTTATGGTGGACCCGGAGCGGACACAGTGTGGCGACAGACCTTGCGGCAGCAGTGTACAGGCTGACGGCAGCATTACAACGAGAAACAATGCCGAGGCATCGCAAGGTAGCGTGAGTACGCTTCTGAAATTGCCCTGGGTTTGGTTGATGTGCGGTGCCATGGTGCTTTCAGACCTGGCGTATAGCGGTAACGAAGCACTGCTCGGACCGCAGATGAAACACGAGTTCAGCTCCAGCGCTACTGTGATTGGTGCAGCCATCTCCACACAGATCATTGTGATATTCGTTTTGAGTCCGGTCGTGGGCGGACTGCTTGATCGCGGCTGCAACGCCACCCTAACTGTCATCATTGGATTGGTCTTGGTCGGTGTGGCATGTCTTCTCATTGGTCCGTCGTCTATCTTCCACACTGCACCTGCCCTATGGCTTGTCTTTCTATCGATGGTACCGTTCGGCGTCGGTCATGTTTTCTTGACGGCCGGCACGTTCTGCAGTCTATCTGAGTCAGTGGAGAACTCCAAGGTAGGAAGTGTAAGCAGCCTGCGAGTGCCGATCTCCGGTCTGACTTCCTTCAGTTTAGTTCTGGGATACGGCGCTGGTCCCTTGCTGATGAGTACCCTGGTGGCAAAGGTGGGTTTCGCGACGGCATTCTCCATCGTGAGCATTGTGTACTTTGCCTATGCTGCGTTGGTAATTGTCTGCTCATGGTGGCGGAGCACGAATAATGCGTGTCTGTTCGTCCGCTGGTTTAGAGAGAGTGGGTTTTCCGGTTCTTGCAGTGCGGATAATGGTGTTGAAAACGCTGCGATAGAACTCTTGCCTATTGCAAAAAGAGTAGAGCATTGACGATTTCTAAAACTATTATAGGACATCTGCGCCTTGATCCAAGAGGGTGGCGGCGTTCCTGCGCACGCGGAAAACTGGGCCTTTGGCCGAGTCTCACGCGAACCGTGAAATTTTTTTAATTAATTTTTTAATTTTTATACAGAACAACAGCGGCAAGGCTAGGTTGTGGCTACTCTGAGTTTTATGTTTTTTTGTTTTTTTCTTTTCTTTTTCTACAAAATACACATATCTCCAGACACTGGGGTGAATAATGGAGTGTGGTGGTGGGGCCCACTAGGCTCTGCCGACCAAAGGTCTGGGCTTCATACTCATAGCTCCATGGACGCACCAAAGGTTTACACAATCATCAGGCAACGGGAGGATGATTATAGGCCATAGAATTATTATACAGTAATATGTTTTCTTCCCCAACTGATCCCTTGAATTGTTTTTCCCTGGTTGAGCGGGGATGAAATATAACAGGAAAGGCCAGAGGCTCTAATACGTGCAAGGGATAACTATCAACCTTGCACATGAGCTGAGCATGTACATGTAAATACAAAACAATAAAACAAACCAATGAGCAATAACTTCAGGACTGGGCACAAGTCCTAAACCGTGCAAGGGATAATGATCAACCTTGCGAGTGCAAGTCAAAGCGTGCGGACTCACAACAAAATGGCAAAAGAATTCAGCTTGAGTGTTTTGGTTGTCTTTCACTTGGAACTACGTCATAGTACATGTATCTTAGAGCTACTGGTAAGTTGGAACTGCTACACCGGTACGGCGGTAGTTCCCACCGGAAAGGAGACAAAAACCTATTTTTTACGGTCACACCATGTCTCGCCAGCTCCCACCACCCCTCTCCGCTCTAGCTTGACAACAAACAGGTACATGTAAATAATTAAAGGACGATCGTATGGTGGAGGGTTTGATTCAAATTCAATAATTTAAAATGTAATCACCTGACTCCTGAGTGTACAGGCCAGGCAGGGGTCAGATACGTCTTGCACAAGCTGGTTGTTTCTCAGTTTCTGCGTCCCTCAATGCCACTCCACAAACTCGTGAGTATGTGTACTGCATGTGTCCGCACAATGACGTAACGTGCACGTACAATGTGCGTACTAACACGAACAGTCATACGAACCGACCCAGACGGGACTGGTCCACCCGCACAACCTCCAAGAACACGACCAGGAACACTGAAGTTCCAGGATGCGGTCCAGATGCAGCTAGCGGTGCACTGGTGGTGGAGTTGCAGTACTTGAAGCGTGAGGGAATGTGACATCACTACACTACTGTACTACCGTACTACCCCTGGAACGCTTAGGTTCATCAGGAATTAAGTAGTTAGAAGTACTTGACACCGTAATGCTTTTTTGGCCAGCAGATCTACTACTAGTACCACTAAGCTGAAGTGATCATGCTTGGAAAAAACACTTCGTGAAAATACTCTACTACTAGCAGTTGGCTAGGTACGAACGCATTGTGGAATCAGGGCCACGGTGAGAATGCGTGACAGACGAGCACATTACCAGAAGGTGACCGATTCGGCGTGGAATCGGGCACATCATTTGGGTATCGCCCATTTATAGGTCAGCGCATCCTGTCAATGAGATCTCGGGCAGAACAGTTGTGATCTCGAATGTACATGTAACTGACTCCATGTACAGACCATAAGAAGCGGGTTGTCAACATCGTTTGAAGGAATGAAATCGATAGAAGACAACAATGACAGGGCGGAAAGCCAATCCGAAACTCCGTCATCACGCCGTACTGCGGAAGCCCCGCTACTGGCCAATTCGTCCGTCAAACATGTTGGGCAGTATCCACGAGCAAGATGTTGGAGCTTCACCAAGCCGCAAGATGGCCTAGAAGATCTAAGCTCGACCAGGAAGAACCTGAATGTTTCTCTCCCTCTACTTGTACGTGTTGTTGGTTTTCACCGGCAGCTTCTGCTCGAAAAGCAGTGAAATTGGCAGAACCATACAAACCTTATGGCAGGCAATTCCTCGAATTCTGCACCATTTCTTTATCCACATACCAAACATGCATGAAACTTACCAGAAAAAGTACCGAATTCTGCCAATTTTTCTGCCGGCATAATCCGCCCGTGCCTAGTTGTTGGTTTGACAGCATGAAACAAGGTGGAGGACACCGTGTTCGGAAACCATGTTTCATGCTGTCAAACCAACAACATGTGTGAACTAAAACAAGGTTTATCTAATACCACACATGTACATGTACATGTACATTGTATGTGTAGTAGCTGCTGGTCCGGCGTGGCTAACAACCTATTGTCCTAGTAGTAGTGGTAGCTAGTATGCATTAGTACAAAGCAATGAGGAGCATTAGGCATTAGAAAGAGCGGCATGGAATGAATGCATGCAGAAGAATACACACAGGGCCAAACCAGTAGGTGCAATTACAATGGAAAAGTGGCTAAAGTTAGATAACAGCCACAAGAAGCATACATGTATGTTGGTTAACATTCAACTAATGGAGGTGCGTACTGGGAGGGGTAGGCTTGGACAAATAGCATGGTAAACTTCGCCATAGGCAGGGAATTACAACAACACACACACGCACACACACACATGCATACACACACACACACATCCACACACACACACACACACACACACACACACACACACACACACACACACACACACACACACACACACACACACACACACACCCACACACATACACACACACACACACCACACACACACACACACACACACACACCACACACACACACACACACACACACACACACACAATGTACATGTACATGTACACTAGACTATAGAACCAGACTGTGGACTGTGTGGAGGTTCGGTTGTGCTGGGAGGAAACGATTGCAAATTCAATCTTGATCACAACTGACATCCTCTAGTGCTTTGCAATGGGTAAGAGTTCTGTGCCGGAGCTCTCCTCAACCTTAGACGCAATTCTTGACGTGGACGATTCACTATCTCCATGACAACATGCACTGTGGCTACTGCGTAACCATGACCAGCTGAAGACCAACATGGCATAGGCAAAGTACACGATGCTCACCACTGAGAACGCCATGGCGAAGCCCAATCCACCAACCAACGCGCTCATCAGCATAGGCCCAATGAAGTAACCCAGCGCCAGACAGAAGCAGGTCACGCCAGATATGGGCACGCGTAGACTGGACGCAGTGCCCAGACCAGTCTGCTCCACATGCTGCGTTATGCCGCAGAATGTGGCCGCTATCAACATCACGTGACCCACACCGGAGGGCACCATGGACACGAACATAATCCATAGAGACGGGGTAATGTTGAAGATCAATGAGGGACCTATCAGAAGACATGCCACACCGACCAAGACCAAGCCGCCGATCACAAACAGGACAGTGCTCCAGCCACGATCCAGCATCATACCAACGACAGGACTCATGAAGAGTGTGACGATGGTTTGCGTGGCAATAGCTGCGCCAATCACGGTAGCGCTGGAGCTGAACTCGAGCTTCATCCGCGGTCCGAGCAGTGCTTCGTTGGCGCTGTACACCACGTCGGATAGGACCATGGCGCCGCACATCAGCCACACCCAGGGCAATCTCAGAAGCGTTCGCACGCTGTTGCTCGACCCGGTGCTGATGCTGTCATCCTGACCGTTACTGCCTCCGTTGCTGCTGTCACTGCTGCTGCTGCTGTTACGTCTACTGCTGCTGCTGCTGCTGCTGCTACTACTGCTACTGCTAGTTCTGCTGTTGCTACATTGTGGCTGGCCCAAATCCACGATAACGAAGAATGCAACGATGGTGCATACAGCCATAGTCAAGGAGAAAAGCATGAACGTATAGCGATAACCCACCAGGTCGAAGAATGCACCTCCCAGCAATGTGCTCAGCGCATGCGTGCCCGACCACAAGCAGTTGTTGAATGTGGTCACGAGTCCCAAGCGTGTTGAATACAGTCGCATCGTGTACGCAATGAAGGTAACCTTCAGCGCTGCTAAGGCTGCACCTTGCAACAGCCTTATGACGATACAGTATGTGATAAACACTCTCCAATCTTGGATTGCATCCACGAACGCAAAGATCATGTGGGATGCTGAAAGCGTAGCACAGCACAGCACAGTCAAGTAGCGACTGCTGATGTTCTCCAGATCATACGTTAATGCAGAGACGGTGATGAGTCCCGTGATGTCCTTGGCACTGTACACTGCACCTACGGCACTATGATAGCCAGGACCTCCGTCAGGATTCTTGGCTAGCGCCTCGCTTGTAAAGAACGGACCTAGACTCATTATGATCAACTGTGTAGCGGCGATAAGCACCCCGAACATCCCCAACATCAGGTGTTTCCTGGTCGGGGTTAAATCTTCAAGACTATCTTGCTTCTCGGTGTCGCCCGGTAGTCTTGATCCGGGATGCCTTGCGACATCTTTGGCGGGTGGTTTCGCCAGTAGCGGCACCTCCGCACTACGACGAGATGACGGAGTTTCGGATCGACTTTCCGCTCTGTCATCTTCGTTTTCTACCGATTTCATTTCTTCAAAAGACGTTGTCCACTCGCTACCTGTTATGTGTATCTGGAATCGGTTACTGTCGCGATCAGAACTACTCTGGCCGAGTTCTTAGTGACAGGATGTGACAGGATGTGCCGCCGCAATATTAAAATTAATTAACTAAACGATCCCACAAAATGATGTGCCTCACTCGGAGTCGTATCTTTCATTTTATAATTATAATTGTGTAGCCATGCACAGGCCGCACGGCCCAGATTGTACTCGCTTGCTGAACTAATCAGCTGTTATCAGAGGGCACGCAACTTTTGAAGTGGTGTAGATGACAAGTACTTGACCAACAACGCTGAAGCCTAATTGTGACAGGAACACTAAGTCTTAATGTCTTCATTGTTTATGAACCTCAGTGTGTCACACCACCACGTGGCTACACAGTGCACGCAGCCCACGATCCTGACTGAGAAGCTGTTGTGTATACCATTGTAGTGTCTGCCAACCTGTTCGTGTCTGAAGCACTTTGGACTTATACAGAAAGTGTAACAGGCTGACAGCACTAGCCGGAGGAACTTGCAAGCTCTGAGGCTTCACAACTCTTTACTCTCGAAATCAATTCCACACAGAACTGAGAAGAATCAGCGGGTTATATAGGCCAGGGGGACAGAGCAGCTGGGAGTGAGGGCAAAAGAAAGCAGGAGGACAGCAGGACAAGAGACAGTGTGGGAGGAAGAATGTACCTAAGTGGCGAGCAAGGTTTATGCAACAGGAATGCAATCTAAAAGTATGGAGGAAACGAATGTGAATGGCAGGCAGGGTAATGGGGCATAAAGATTACTAGGAAGACAACTGTTGGAAGATCTAAGGAAAAGGCATTTGAATGTGTGTGAGCTAGGGCTGATCAATAACATGGGTTCGGGGAAGAAGGCTGTAACCTGTTGGATGCATACATGTAGAATCGGGAAGGTATCTCGCAAGTGATCAAAAGGGTCAGTGAGGGGGAACAGACTACTCAGGAATCAATGTAATGTATATTTACAGCATGAATGCAATAGGTCAAGCCGTACCGGTCTGCAGGCAGGGTTGTCTAGTAGTCCTACTTCAAAGTAAGTGGTTGCTGGGAGAAGCACTTAGCATGTACATGTGAACTACAAGTAGCTAGTAATACCAGGAGGTTGTGTGATGACTGTTCAGTGATACTGATAGAGCTAGAGATACTACACTCGCCCCTCCTCCGTTGAGACACGTCCTCGTGTCTACGGGACGGGTGTTCGTGAAAAGACAGACATATGCATCTAGAAGTAATTCGGTGGACGGATGAGCTGGCGATTGCGGAGATTGTATGGAGGTAAAGCAGGGGGTGGCGGCAGCTGAGGTGGCGGAGCATGGAGAACTGGTTGATCGTGATCTGGAGGGTGGATGGCAGGCGCATACTGAATTGGGTTCGGCGGTGGTTCTGGACGTGGAAGGAAGCGTTTGAGACGGTCCGCATGTACAACCTGGCGACGGAGTGTGTTTGGATCTTGAACTTGGATGGTGATGTCATCGATGACACGGGTTACCTGGTAGGGTCCAGTCCAGTACCTGTGGAGTTTTGCTGATGTGCCTTGGGGAACGACAGGGCTGAAGAGCAGAACAGAATCACCGGGGTTGTATGCAGTAGGAGAACGGGCGGTATGGTCATAACCATCTTTCTGGCGTGTAACGGCGCTGGCGTTGTTTTCGCGGGCAAGTTTGAAAGCATACTGAAAATTAATGATGATTTCAGGGCTTGGACATACTCAGGGTGCTTGGTGGGCTGCTGGGCTGGCGGGAGGTCGTGAAGGAGGTCGACGGGGATGGTGGCTTCTCGTCCGTACATCAATCTGAACGGGGTGAAACTTGTGACCGAGTTGTGGCTCGTGCGGTAGGCGAACAGTACTCGTTGTAGGTGGAGGTCCCAGTCAGTGTGTTTCACGACACAGGTAGAGAGCATCTTCTCGAGAGTGCGGTTGAATCGTTCAATAAGGCCATCTGATTGTGGGCGGTACGGTGTTGTCCGGGTCTTGTTGATCTCGAGGAGTTTGCAGACGTGCTGGAAGACATGTGACTCAAATTGCGGTCCTTGGTCAGAATGAAGCGAGAGGGGAACACCATGGCGACAGATGAAACCATCCACTAGACATGTAGCGACTGTAGTGGCGAGAGTGTCCTGCAGGGCATAGGCTTCGTACCATTTCGTGAAGTAATCCCCCACTACTAGAATGTAACGGTTACCTCTAGCAGTGACAGGAAGTGGGCCCATGATATCGATACCTACTCGCTGGAGAGGAAATGAAGACTGGTGTGCTTTGAGTGGCGCTCTTGGGCGAGGTACGGGAGCTTGACGTTGCTGGCACTGGGGACAGGTCTTGACCCATTCGGTTATGTCGGCTGTCATGTGTGGCCAGTAGTACCTTTGACGAGCACGGGCCAGGGTGCGAGAAGTGCCGAGATGTCCGGAAACAGTAGAGTCATGGATAGCGTGGAGAGCTTCATCACGGAGGGCTGTGGGGAGGACGAGCTGTAGAGTCACTGTGTTGTCATCATTTACATAGCGGCGATGGAGTAATCCATTGTGTAGGAGAAGACGGTTGGACTGGGTCCACAGGCGAATAGTAGCCGAGCTGACATGTTGAAGACGGGCATCACCTCTGGCAGGAATGTCGGTGCTAGAGAGCCAGAGATGGACAGGTCTAATCTCAGGATCAGCTGTTTGAGCAGCAAGCAGGGCGGCAGTAGTCCAGGTAGGTAGCCAAGAGTCTGGGTCAGCGGGTTCTGGGATGATAGCAGCGCAAGCAGGGTGAGCAACAGGGAGGGGTAAGCGGGATAGAGCATCAGCAGTAACATGAGCTTTGCCAGGGCGGTGTTGAGCATCATAGTCAAAAGCACCCAGCTTTTCAATCCACCTAGCTACAATGCCATCTGCATCTTTGAAACGGGACAGCCAAAGGAGTGCCAGGTGATCAGTGCGTAGGAGGAACTTGCGACCCAAAAGATAATGCCTAAAATGGTGAGTGAAATGGACAACAGCAAGCAATTCTCGGCGGGTAACAGGGTAGCGGCGTTCAGCGCGAGACAAAGTGCGGCTAGCATAAGCAACTGCATACTCACGACCCGTGGAGTCAGACTGGGATAGGACGGCCCCAATAGCGATGTCACTGGCGTCGGTGTCGATGATGAACGGCCGGGTGGGATCAGGGTAGCGAAGGATCGGAGCGGACGTCAGGCGCTGTTTGAGCTTGGTGAAGGCTTGGTCAGTTACCGGTGTCCAGACGAATGGCGCTTTCTTCTTGGTTAACTCATGGAGTGGCTTGGCGATCATTGAGAAATCCTGGATGAAGCGGCGATAGTAGGAGGTGAACCCGAGGAAACGACGTACTTCCGTAGCGTTAGCCGGTTGAGACCAGTCACGAACAGCATCGTACTTGGTTGTGTCGGGCTTAACGCCATCACAGGTGAAGATGTGGCCCAGGTAGGTAACAGAAGAACGCAGTAGGGAGCACTTACTAGGTTTGACTTTGAGACCCGCATCGCGAAGACGGGCGAGAACTATGGCCAGACGTTCCAGGTGTTCGTCCAGAGAGGTCGAGAAAACGATTATGTCGTCTAAATACACTACACATATTCTGCCAATTAGGTCGTTGAGGACGGTGTTCATGAGCCGTTGAAACGTTGCGGGTGCGTTGCAGAGACCGAAGGGCATGACGTGCCAGTTGTACAAGCCGAATGGTGTAGTGAAGGCGGACTTTTCTTTGGCGGACTCGTCGAGCTCTACTTGCCAGTAGCCGGAGGCTAGATCCAATGTTGAGAAGTACTGTGCACCGTGCATGCAGTGGAGAGCATCATCAATGCGCGGCATTGGAAAGGCATCCTTCTTGGTTACATTGTTGAGCTTCCGATAATCCACACACAGGCGAATGGAGTTATCCGGCTTCTTCACAACCACGATAGGAGCGGCCCAGGGGCTGGACGATGGGGTGATTTTCTCTGATGCTAGCAGGTCGTTGATGTGGTCTTCGACTGCTGCAGCTTGGTGGATCGGTAGACGGCGTGGAGCTTGGCGGATCGGGTGAGTAGAGCCGGTGTGAATTTCGTGCTTGATGATGTCCGTGCGACCTACATCCGACGGTCCAGTCGAAACACAGTCGGCGTACTCATGAAGAAGCGGAGATAGGCGGGCCTGCATGTCTGGCGTGAGGTGGGAGAGATCAAAGGCAGCGGCTGGGGCTGGAGGAACTGCATCGGGCTGTGGGACGGCAGCACTGCACTGAGGAAGAGAGTCCACGTATGTGGGCGTGGGTTCGAATCCCACTTCTGACACCAATGTAGTGTCTGCCAACCTGTTCGTGTCTGAAGCACTTTGGAC